TTCAACAGCCGACCGATCCCAACACCTCCCCTTCGACAGCCGACCGATCCCAACACCCACGGAACGACGTACTTTCGTCGAGGAAGTCCTCCTCCTCGTCCTCGCGACGGAGCTGCCTCCGCCTGGCCTCCTCCTGAGGGAAACCCTCTCTCTTCCCATCGTCCATGATCTCCTCGAGCCGGACTCCAAGGATCTGCAGACCACAGCATTTTTTCACTCATCTCCCTCACAAAACAGAGACGAAGATGAAGATGGAGATGGAGACGGAGATGGGAGACCTCGGCCCAGGAGTAGAAGAGGCGACCCGCGGCTCTCTGGATGGCATGGACCCGGCGGATGATGGACGGCTGTCCCCGCGTCCCGATCTGGGACTGGGACGGCACGGCCGGGGCTCCTGCCTTGTAAATGCTCTGGTTCAGCTTCATCCAGAAGGGCCACTGGCCTCGGTTGCAGCGGTGGACGAAGTACGCGCATTCCAGGAGGAAGGCCGCTCTCGTCACCACTGGGGCTCCAGGCTGGAATTCACCCACGAATAAAAATGAACGATCGAAAGTTTACTTGGAACGAAGAGCACAAGAGATGAAGAAAAAAAAAAAAGAGGTTGGTGGAAACAGAAAATAAAAACTAAATAAATAAATAAAATCCTCAGGACAAAAATATCCCGCGAACGATCCCGATTCGAGTCCCAACGAGACAGATACCGAAAATGCGAAGAAAGCAGACCACAGACCAGATCGAGCACGGCGGCGACGATCCCCGGATCCGGCGATGCCCCGGGGGAGCTGAAGTCGAGCAGCAGCGAGAGTCGAAGCATCCCTGCCCTCAGAGGGGCCTTGGGGACGAGGCGCCTGGACTTGAACTGGGCGCCGTTCTCTCGGAGGACGTTGATGGAGGCTGCGTCGCCGCGGGGTCCCTCGCCTCCGCCTTCTTCCCAGTCCCAGGAGCTTCTTCGACTGGTGTCTGCAACGGCAAAGGTCGGTTTTTATTTCAGTTTGAGGGTTTTTTTTTGTCTTTTTTTTTTTTTTTTTTGTCGGACCGGGGGGTTTTTTGCAGG